CCCCCCCCCGGTAGTCCCCAAACCGGGATCCCTCTCCTCGACTTTGCCCTGAACCAATACGGCATCCAGCATGTCTTCTCGGTCAGTGAGCTGGCCGGGCGCCAGTCTCTGGACGCCCTGGCCAGCCTGCTGCAGGAGGCCGCCTCCCAGCAGCTGGAGCCGCACCCGGCAGATGGGCTCCCCCTGCCGGAGCCAACCGCCTCCCCCGAGCCGGATGTCCAGTACCCGGAGCTGCTGTGCACCTTTTGCGCCGAGCACCCGGCCGAGCTGATCTGTCCACGTTTGCTGAGGCGCGGCCATTTGCTGGACCTTCCCCCCGGCCCGGCCGGCATGGCCTTCTACGCCCGGCGTGTGCAGCTGGGCCGGTGCGCCGTGTGTGGCCTGCACCCCATCTACCAAGCATGCCCCTTCTTGCCGGATGACGAGCATGCCACCCCGGGCCTGGCTTTCCCCTACACTGGCCAGCAGCTGCATCCCTCCTCGACGGGCCCGACGGCGGCCGCATGCTCGTCGGGGCCCGACCAGCCATCTGCCCGGGCATGCCCCATCTGCCTGGACCACCTGGATGATCAGCCATGCCCGCAGTTGCGCCGGGAGGGGGTGGACTTCATCTACCGGTTCCGGCTCCTGACGCGGCAGGCCCGTGAAGATCGGCTGTCCCTTCGGGTGTGTATCTTCTGCGGGCGGCACCCGCTCGACCGGCCATGCCCGGCCATGAGCAAGGCATTCCAGGGGCCGGTGCTGCTGGCGCCGGACCGGACAACCCATGCCCATCTTGCGGCGGCCGCCGCCACGACGGGGGGTCCCCCCGCCGGGGGTTCCCCCCCGCCCCTGGAGGGGGCGATCCTCCTGCCGAAGTCCCCCCATCGAGGGCACGATGTGGCGCTCATTGGCTTGTGGAATGTGGCCCTGCCGCCGGAGTCGGACCCTGGCCTCCGGCCAGTGGGTCCCACGGCCCCGGCCCCGGGGGACACTTGCCACTTCTGCTTCCAGCACCCGGCCGACCAGGCGTGCCCGTGGCTGGCGCGCCGGGGGATGCGCCTGTCCGATGGGCTGCTGCTGGTCACCGCCCGCGAGGTGCATGCTCGCCGAGGGCTGGGCCTGTGCGATGCGTGCGGCATGCACACCCGGGCCACCGAGTGCCCGCTTCTCCGACGCCAGGGGTACTCCTACATGGATGGGCAGCTGCTGCTGTTGCCGCGGGAAATGCGCCGCCGCGCGCAATTCCACCTGTGCATGCGGTGCGGCCTGCACCGGCAAGATGAGCCGTGCTATTTGACGCACGAGCCGGTGGCCGCGGCCGCCGGCGGCCCCTCGGTCCAGGGCGTACCATCCCATGCCCCGCGGTCGAGGAGGAATCCGGCCATGTGTTCCTACTGTGGCCGGCATCCGTCGACGGAAATTTGCCCGGCGCTCTTTCACTCGGGGATTGTTTTCCGCAACGGCAAGCGGACCCTCACCCGGCGAACCATCCGCACCCGCATGAAGGCCGGGGTGTGTCTCTTCTGCGGGCTGCACATGAACTCCGAGCCATGTGCCCGGCTCCGGGACCGGCATCAGGTCCGCCACCTTGGCAAGGCCATGATCCTGGAGAGCGATGCCTGGCATGCGCGCCAGGCCGCCGGCCTGTGTCTGTACTGTGGCCGGCACCCGGCGAGCGAGATCTGCCCGCGCGACCTGCTCCAGGCCGTGAAGGAGCCCTTCCAGACCCTGCTGGGCCGGGACACCTCCGGGGCTTGGCTGGCCGAGGGGGTGCGCGCGCGGCGCCTGGCGGCCCTGCGGTTCTTTGTCGATGTGGCCGCGCCCCGGATCATGGCCGCCACGTTCGAGGAGGCCTTCCTGGCCACGCGGCCGGACTTCCGGCCCTGGTCGCCGGAACGCATGGCCCAGGAGCGTGCTCTGGAAGCCGAGCGGGCGGCCCAAGCCGCCGACCTGGCCCGGCGCCGTGCTGCCTCGCCCCATGGCGGCTCCTACGAAAATGCCTACTCCGACTCGGACCCCGAGTCCGAGGGGGATTTCGATGCCGAGGCTCACATGGGCCCGAGCATTCGGGCTGCCTGGCTCCACGATGACCCCCCTGCGGATGACCATGCGTCCGGCCTGCGGCGGCCAGGCCCAGGCCCGGCCGCCGGTGTCGACTCGGCTCCCTGGACCGAGGACCAGCATGAGGACCAGCTGGTGGCCTCGCTCCAGCAGGACCTCTTCGCCAAGTATCGGTCCCTGTTGCCGGAGAAGTATCGCAAGTATCTGGGGCGCCTGGTGCGCGATGCGCAGGCCGCCCTGGATGGCTATGACTCGTCGGCGGGCTTCATCCCCACCCAGCCGACTCCGGCCGAGCGGACCCTGACGAAGGCCGCGCGCTTTTGGAGCCCGTACGACCTCCTGACCGGCAGGCTGGCCCGCACCCGGCCCCTGTATCTGGGCTACGATTCGGCCAGCAACTTCCGGGCCTTCTTCGATGCCGTGGATGAGGAGACCGTCGGGCAGCCGGCCAGGTCCCACCGTCCGAATGCCCAGGGCGAGGCGGAGCCCTCGGCCGCCACGGCCATGTTGGTGGTGGGCCCGACGATCGGGGCCGCGGTCGATGAAGCCTCGGCCCGGCAGCCATACCACCAGCCGACCACCGGCCTGGCGCAGTCGGCCCTCCCACGCCGGCGCGAACAGCTGGTCCGCCAGGCGACCAGCATCCAGGAGGCCCAGGAGCGCGAGCGCGCCGCCATCATCGAGCGCGAGCGCATCCGCCACCAGAGCCAGGATGTCTGGCAGGAGGAGGATGACCAGTACCTCTTCTAACGCGGGGAGTGGAGCGAGGGCGAGGGGGGTGCTTGTGGGGCATTTGGTCGCTCCTGGCCGCCCCCGCCGGCGGCCCCCCCCCCCCCCCTTCGTGCACATTGCCCGATCCCCCGCGCCCCGGCCACCCCCATCACACCTGCCTGGCAGATCATCCTTTCCCCCTTGCCCAGGCTCCGCTGTCCTTGTTTCCCCCCCCCT